GGGAGAGAAAATAGAGTGCTTAGAGAAGCAGCTCCACTGCACAGAGGCACAACTCTTTGACCTGTTTGAAATAAAGTAAGAATAGTACAGGAGTGATAATAGTGGTTCGTAAATACTAGAAGGCACACTACAGAAATACTCTACATACACTTCTCTGGATCACTACATTCAGACTCTCATAACCAGCGAGTAAAATATGCTCTTTGCTATGGCACCATGAAGATCCTGTCTTTGCTGTCATTTCCAGCTGTGTTCTCACTTGTCACCTTTGTTTCATTTTGGTTTTCAAAGAAAATACAACGAAATAAGACATTCTCTTTAGGACATGCATTCAGAAGTGAACTTCTGACTATGAGTTGACATGAGTTGAAGATTTACTGAAAGCAGCTCCGAAGCACTGGAGAGAGAGTTTTCAAAACTACATTCTACTCTTTCCCTACCACAAGAATGACGCTCAGCGCTGCATTTACCTTGTCTGGCTGTATATTCATTGTCTTCAATCAGTCTTGCCAATCCAAAGTCGGCAATCTTGCATATGAGGCCGTTGCCCACCAGGATGTTGGCAGAGCGCAGATCCCTGTGTATGTAATTCATCCGCTCGATGTACGCCATGCCCGCGGCCACCTGCGAGCAGCAGGAGAGACAAGCCATGCATTTAAAACAAACTCAGTCCATACATGGGCTACAAAACACCCACACCTCAGTGCTCAGTGCTCTGGAGACAGACCTGAGCCGCCATGTCCACCAAGTTTGGTAACTTCAAGGCTCTTCCTTCTCCATCCTTGAGGAAATCTAGCAAACTCCCTGTGAATGCAGAGTTGACACAACAGAGAGATGTTAGGAAGACAACTAATCAGAATGGAGGTGCAGCAATATGTGCAATATTAAAGACAGCAATGTTTCAAGTTCAAGGGGCAGTTTCAAAAAAACCCCATGATATCTCCAAATTCTCCTATTGTACTTGCTTCACTCTTTAAGTTGGCTTGCAGAAGAATGCAACTAGTACAATGAGAGTTGCAGGGAAAGGAAACAGGATTGTTTTAAATTTTCCTGAGCATTATTGAGAAAGTTGATCTTTCCTAACTTTTCCAGTGCTCTTTAAAACTACATAGCTGCTGCTCTCTAAAGGCCTCAGCTAACTGCAAAGCAGCAGCTCAGTTCCAATCCACAGAAATTATGGAAGAAGTCAGATCCTAGCTCAATTGGATCCAAAGGAAAGGTCAGCCCAGAGCCTGGTGAGCCCAAGGGGGATAGCATTAGCAAAGGCTATTTCTCCTTAGAAATTAGTGGTGCTCCTCCTCTAGGTAACCCAGAACTAAATACAGCATGAATCATTAATTTTAGAAGACAAAGAAGAGATTAAATGAAAGCGACTTTTGCAGAAGTTATAAGAGTATCACTTTCCTGTGCTAGGGAAAACAAGAAAGTACTCTGTTGCCTTAAAGAAAGAGCCTAGGATGTATAGCTTCTGTCCTAATCTTGTATCTGAACAGAGAAGTGTAGCAGTCTCCTTTAAATAAGGTCAGAGAATTGGTTTAAAAAAATAAAGGAAAAAGAGAGATGATTAAGCGTTTCTCCCTTGATAAATTGTCAGCCTCAAGCTCAGATCCAAAGATGTAAAATGTTACAGTACAAACCAGTAAAGTAAGCCAAAATAAACCCCATACTTCAGAAGGGTTTTGAAAAGTCTTTATTTTTAAAGGGAAAAAGCATACGCTTGTCACTGAGACATATGATTAAAGTGTGAGTTAGTCAGGGCTTGGATGTCTCTGAGGAGGGAGGTGGGCAAGCACCTGCCAGGAAAATAAAAGTCAACTCCAAATAGACTGAAAGAATGCACTTAAAATTTCAGAGTGTATCCTCCAATGTACAATGAAACTTCCCTGTGAGAACTTATGTTTCCTATTTGGTTCATTTGCTTTTCCAAAACAAGCAGATTTTTTGCTCTGCTCTAAGCACCCTGCTGGAGATCTGATGGAGCAAAAAGTTTTCTTTTTCTCATTTTACTACACTGTTACCAGCTAAGTAGCTTAAGGAAGAGACAAGGGGGAAGGGGAAAGTGAGGAAAAGAATAATATGTGCAAATAATGTATTAAGTTGATAATGGGGTGGACAGAAAGTGAAGTGTAATCTGAGAATGAGGTGCAGTGACAAGATTCAGAATTGGCTACACAAGGAAACAGAAATCCTAGGCCAACAAGTAAACACTGAAAGAAGATGTCCTAAAGAACTCTCTGATGCCAGGAAAAGCTAGGATCTGGGGAAGCAGCATGTGATATCACCAAACCTAGAAAATGTAAATCACTTGTCAGGGAAGTTTGGATGCTGATACAGTAGGAATCACTTAGCCTGCACCAATTTCTCTTTCCCCCAGCTAGTACAAATTTTCTTTGTACATCAGGGCCCAGTTCATAGTGGAATTCCTAGTTCTTCTGAAGCCAGAGGTGGCTCTAGTTTCCTGTTCCCTCTCTCTTTCCTTGCATGCACCCCGTTGCACCTCCCTCTGTATCCCCAAGGAGAAACAATAAATAAAAAATATTATCATGCCCAGCAGCTCTGCCTTCACCTTTACTCATGTACTCTGTGACAATATAGATAGGCTCTTCAGATACCACAGCATAAAGTTGAACCAATTTGTCATGTTTTAGCTTCTTCATGATTTGGGCTTCCTCTAAGAAGGATTCTGGAGACATGGTGCCAGGCTTCAGGGTCTTGATAGCCACTTTAGTATTTCCATTCCACGTACCTACAAGCACAGACACTTAGTTAGATTAAATATCTTCTGCTCCTTTTTCTGCCTGATGCCTAATGTAAGCAAGGAAAAAAAATAGCAAGGACATTTAATATAAATTTTTTAAAAAAAGTTTGGTTTCCCATGTTGCCTTATCATTATATTCCTCCCACACCTCCTTCATATTTTAGTCTTTTTCTGTTACACTGAAAAATAATACTCCCATTGGCTCTCATTATTCCCATTACTCTCATGGGGCACAATTGCTGTTGTCCTACTCAGACAGTGTTTCCAGTGATCTCCACAGAAACCTTCTCTGAGTAAGAAACTTGGGACTGCTGAAACCCATCTTCGTGCATTCCCTGGCTAACAAGTAATTGCTCCAGACAACAACACAGCTCCAGTCACAGATTTGGAAAACAAAACTGGTTAAACCAGAATCTCTCATTTGCAACACATTTTAACATTTTGGTTTTGTTCTGAGTCAGGTTAAAAAAAAATTAAAAAAAAAACAAAAAAAACAAACCAACAAAAGCTTCCTGAGAAACAAATCCTGAATTGATTTCAATTTAGAAACACAGGTGTGTTTCCAAACTGAAATGTGTCTTTTTCCTTCCCCTCCTTATCCCCAGGAGCTGCTGACAGAAAATGAGGTGTTCCTGTCCACTTCAGTTTGCTCTTTACTGGTGGTCAGCACTGAAATAGACAAGTTGCAGCATTTTTCAGCCATCAGCTACCAAGCTTTATGGAACATCCAAAGCCTGCACAAGAACCTGGAGAGAAGTGGGGAAGGCTGACTCAGGGCATCATGCAAAAGATGGGGCTTCACTTGGGTATTAGAAAGGGGGAGGAAGACTGGAAAGAAAGAAAACCCAGAAGACCTATTAATGTAAACAGTGGGGACTTTTTTGGTTTTGTTTTGTTTTTTGTGGGAAGTAAAAGGAAGGACAATTAAAATGGGCAGAAATACCCCTTTCCTACTGCCTTCTGGTTGTCCTTTGCCCAGACTAGCCAGAACCCTGCTCCAGAGTCAGGGCTGACATGGCTCTGAATATGATCTGTAGATAGGGAGCTGCTGTGTGATAAGGCAGAACAACACTAAATTACTTCAGGAATTAATCACATTAAAAACTACTCCTCTGCACTTAAACACGAGGACAGCAGAAAGCCCACAAAGTACACAAAGGCTGTGTCATGAAAAAAGTAACATGTAAAATAACCCCATTTGTCTTTGTTAAAAGTATGTGAACAATAACAGGGCTCAGCTGCTTCATGGGAATTGCTTAGGCCAAAATAACTTTATCATGAGCTTTTGCAACCTGCCAGAATAGAAATGAGCCATAAAATGGGTCTTTTTTTGTGCAAATGCTCAGGTCCCAGGTCTACCTTGCCTGGCTGAGGATAGCAGAAGAGCAGTGGGAGGAGCTGCTGCTCCTGTGCTGCTCCTCACTTTGAAAGGGCAATCCCAAATGTCTGGCAGGGCTTGAGGCACATATTAGTCAAAAGTGTGCAGTGCAAGTTGGTTTTTATGATGCCTTTATTTCCTTCTGCCACTTCACTGTACTGTCAGTGGAGTAATGTCTTGAGTGACCACCTCTGCTACCCCAGCACACTTCAGAAGGACTCCTGAAGCCCTCATTTCTCTCAGTCCTTCAAACCAGAGCTGAAGCAGGACTTTGCTCTAGTGGCACTCCTGTGTAACCTGGGAAGGATGTGGTTTTGCCTCTGATTTCAAGCAGGGTGGCCAAAATCTTTTCTGATGGGTGACAGGGAGCGTGTTTTGTCTGGAGTCACTGAGGCTGCAGACTGCAGTGTGCCATCAGTCACGGCCACTTTGCAGAGGTACCCAGAGTTTCATGGGCACCAAACTGGCATTCATAAAATAGGATCCCACTCTGTGTGTTAACAGGATTAATGGTGTACTATCTGTTTAAATAAAAATTCTAGGACTTGTTCTATTATCCTGAAGTGTTTTCAGCAAGTCTGTTTTTAAATATTTTATTAATTTCTCCAGTTTAAAAAAAGAAAATAAACCAAAAATGTTGACTTATCCTCTCAGCCCTGATTCCAGTTTAAATTCTTAAATTTTCTTTTTCTGTTTTAGTATATTTTTCTAATAGAAAAGCAGCATAGACTTCCCTCTGAATTCCTCCCATATGTAGCTAGTTACTACTTAATGTGTTTTTTATTAATTGTTACTGTGTTAATCTACTCCAATTTGGTAATGCTTCAGGGCTATTAACATATTTTTTACTATGCATAAGAAACAGAATTTCATAATTGTAATCATAATTTTTGCATTTCTGACAGTTGCTTGGTACTGGTACTTGGCACTGTATTTCTCATAGCTGATTTTATTTATTTATTTATTTATTACATTTGTTCCTTTAACTTCTTGAATCAGTTTAAGGTCTATGGCACACAGAGTTGACCACTAAGTTTGAACATAAACTGGAAACTTGTGCATGCATTCAAGATGGAGAATGAGAAGGAGAAACTGCCATTATCTGGAAAGTGAACAGAAATGTAGGCAACTTTCTTTGCAACAGGTCAACTGCAATTCTGTGAGATTCTATAAATTTCTATATTTCTAGTCTATAAATTCTGTAAATCTCACAGACTTGCTGCTGTGCTCCCTGCTGGAGCACCCACTGGTTGTTTTGGCTGTACATATTTTTGTGTCGCTGCAACAAAAAGAGTGGTCAAACTGCCTCCTCAAATTTTTGTGAAGAGACAACATACAGTGATTCTTTAGTTGAATTGGTAATTTTAGAGTCTATACAGAACACAATTTGGCATAGAAATTGAGCCACATCTCATGAAATGGCCACTATATTGTGTTTCAATGCTATGGCCATACTAAGATTTACGTACATTGTAAGTTGCTGTTGTTTTATACTCATTAAAAGAATGAGGTCCATGATGGGTAAGCTGGCAAGTGTGCAGAAAACAATGTCAGCGGATTTGGAAAAGGTCAATATTTCTGGATTTCAAAGTGGGGGTTCAGCTGGGCCTGGCAAGTTTTGCCTCTGTTGTCCCTGGTCTCTATATTGAATTACTGGGCTCTGCTGCAGACACAAATTGCAAACAGACTTGAAGAAGTGGATGCATGGGAAAGCTAGCTTGACAATATCAGCTTGCTGATATTTGCCATTATTTTTAAGCTGGGAGAGTGGATGGAATCATTTTCAGGGTCTGATTCCATCAGTGCTACAATACACAAGGAAAGAAAAATGTCTACTTACCAGATTAATTTCTGGTTAGCCATTCTGCCTTACAGGTTTAGCATCATTCCTATCTTAATACCTAGCAATTGTGTAGTCACCCAAATAAACCCAAGGCAATTAATGAATTTTAATGCCCTAACCTCTCATACCACTGTGTGCAAATGAATGGAAGCTTCCCCATGGATTACTGTATTTATGTATGACTGTTTCAGGCAATATAAACTAACATTTCACACTATTCTGATCTTTTAGCCTTAAGATCTAGACTTGAAATGTTTATTTCTGCCAAGAGGGCCTTAAAAGATCCATCCAAAGCAAAATATATTCTCTGCCTTACCACGCCACACTTCAGCGAAACACCCCTGACCAAGCTTCTGTTCCAGAAATAATGAATCACGTGCAACTTCCCATGCATCTTTAGCCAATCCAACAGTTTGTGGGGTATAATTCGTAGCAATCACAGTTAAGTTAAAACACAAACCATCAGCTTTCTCTATAGGAGAGGAAATTAATAAAAAAAACACACTTATAATCCAAAATTATGCATGCATTGAGAAAGATGGAAGGTGAGGGTCTCTCAGTGCTGCAATAAAGTTCATTTGCAAACACTGGTTTTTGGATGCTGATGATAAGGACTTCTTTTGTTAGCTTGCAGAAAAAGGCTCCTTGGAATAGCTAAGAGATTACTATGCGAGCCTTGATTTATTATTAAGACAGTGGTAATTTGTCAAAATCAAGACCTTCCAAGGAAACATGGATTTTCAGTTTTCTTTTGCCATCAATTACAGTGAAAGTTGAAGATTAAAGAATTTCAAAGTCAAAGACATGATTCCAAAGACATTTTTCCTAACAGTTTGAGCTTTACTAATTTTTTTTCTTGTGGGTCACAATGTCCTCCTACATTTTCACCTTCCATCTTGTAATCCCCACACAGCGAGCTATTTTAGAGTAATTATTTTGCTCCATACCCATCCATACTTCCCCAAACTGCCCATTTCCCAGTCTCTTGATCAACTGTAGGGATTCTCGTGGAATTTCCCAGACATCTTTGGTTTTGACAGACAGATCAGTAAGCCTTGGCATTCCTTTATGACAGGGGACTACTAAGCGGCAGCAAAGACCTGCAGCTCTCTCTGATGGAGCCAGAAGTGAAGCCAACAGCAAAGGAGAGGAAAGAAAAAAAAGTGTGACATGAAACAAATACAGTAAGCATAAAAACAATGCTACTCACAACAGCTGTTAGTTGCATACCACAAAGCATCCTGGAAGATTAGGAATTGAACACTGAAACATATTCACTTGAGACAGAACAGGAAATATTTTAGTCTCTGCACAGCCTGAAATGGAAGGTGACCCCCACTGGTTTCTCTTGCAGACTCAGGATTTCCCTCCTCCCACAATGCTGCATTAAGATAACCCTTGAGTGACTGGTTGACTATGGTACAGTATAGCTTTTTAAACATAATCTGTCAATTACAAGCTGAATTGTTTCTGAACTGAGTAAAAGAAACACGGAGAAGATGAATTACTTCTTTTTCTGAAAAATCGCAGCCATGAAAATTTGGTGGACTTTTTGTAGCCTGGGAAAAGATATTTTCCATATTTTGCTCTGTGAAAAGGTGTCTTTGTGGGTGTCATGCAAATCTGACATTCTTTCTAGAGCAAACCTTAATTAGCATATGCAGTACCATGCCTCCAGAGTTACCCTGCCTGGATCCTACTGATTATGCCTCCGTGTTGCACAGAAATGGCTGCTTCCAGATCTTTTTGTTTCTGCATCTGTGCATGGAAAATATGCCATCCAAATAAGCTGATCACAGGAAACTAAAATTTGACACCGGTACAGTGAGGTGGTAAATTATCTTCCTTATATGTGAGTTTTTGTATCTCATTTAGCTTGAAGTAGAGTCACCAGAAACAACTAGAAAATCTCCCTGGCAGCACACACCCATCAGGAATTGGGTGGAGAAGACAGCCAGATGTCTAGTATGAATAGCATAAGAATGCAGCAGACAGAATACAAAGAATACAGAAAAAATGCCCCGCAGAGAAGCTGATTTCCCAAGTAAAAATTATGAAAAGTTTTTGAGCAGCAAGCATTTGGGGTAATCTGTTAATAATATTATGAAAAGCTAAAGTAAAGGGAAAAACCCCAAAGAGCAAATAATTCAAAACACAAATTTCTGCTTAAAAACTGACCATGCTGAGAAGCATGACAATGTTCTGTGTAAGAACCAGTTGTCCTGTGCAGAGGTTTGAGGGGCTTTGAAGTTGCATTTGTTGTACACCAATTGCCAGTGACAACAGGATGTACTTTTGGGTGGAACAATGCCTGCCACACTTTATTCACAGGAATAATAAAAAAAAAGTTTGGTGGGTGGACACAAATAGTGTGCATAAAGAAACATGCACATTGCCTTATTTATTTAACATAATCTAGATGCACATAGAATAAAAATTCAGTGGGAAAATATATTTAATGTATCTAATACATGCAGAACTTTTGGCCATTGTTTTAGGTGACTGAATTCCACAATGCAATTCCTATTTGCTTCACTGGCAATAGTGTGCTGCAAAATGGCGCATCTTAGCACTCACTTATTCACAGGGAATTCATGCTTGGAGATGTGCAAGTCAAATTTGGTAATTCTCTTTGCTCAGAAAAGGGAGAGCTGACAAAACCTTTAACACAGTGAAATGTTAGGTTTTAAAAGCTCTGCTGCTGTCTCCCATGAACAGCACTCAAAGACATTTATAACTCTAATGGGAAAGGGATAACAGAAGATGAATTACAACAAGTTGGAGTCATAGATCAAATGTCTCTTTAGGGCATCTTACACATACATCAGCTCAGCAGCAAACACTTTTGTTTTAAAATACTTCAGAGTGCCATGTATTATCTGAAAAATTACCTGAGTAATGCTGAACCAGCTGCTGAAGAGTTTCAAATTGTGCCCGAGTTGTGATATAATATCCACCATTGTCAAGTTTACGAATCTTATAATGTTTGACATGATCTCCTTTCATATCATCCCAGTCTCGAATAGACAGGGAATAGGCACCTGTTCCAAGCAAAGGAGAAAGAAAAAAATTGTAATTAGCTTTTAGTCACAAAGATTTTGGTTTTCTGGTAAGTTGCTACAAAGTGAATGAGAAATTGCTTCCAAAAAGCTCACCGTATCCTGAAAAAGAACAAATTAATCTAACACAATGAGGTAAGCATCAGAGAAATCCTGAGATGTTCACATTGTGTCCCTTTCACAATGTTCTAGAAAGGTACTGGGACTTCTGGGTAAATGAAAACTCACATTTTAACATTTACTGCTCCAGGCTGTTAAATTGACTTTTCCTATTCTAAGTGTCAGGTTACACTGCAAATACTGTCCTTTATGTAAATGCCAGTGGGTGGTAAATATCAAGATTTTGAGGACAGGAAGCTCTGGAGATAATGACTTTATATGTGGGTAGTGTTGTTACCTGGATGAATCCCAAACTTCTTTATAAACAACCAAATAAGCATATTTTGTACACCACAGTCTTTGGATGGTAATATTACACCAAGACTGAGCACCAGTAGATCTGAAAGAACTTCACATTTAACTTCCCAAATCCATGTGGGGCTTTAGAGCTTACTAGTGGGATTCAGATGCCCTAGCACAGGGATTAAGTGCCATGTGAGATGCCTCAGGACACGCTGCTTGGCAGTTTTCCCACAGGCTGTCACATTTTTCCAGCCATGTGGATGCCCTGCAGACATTTGAAATGGCTCTGGATGCTCAGGGCCATGTGAGCCTCAGTTGATGGGCTGGATTTAGTTTCAGGTGCAGTCGTGGCAGTCTGCAGGTGGGCTGGGGGTTTGATTTATCCACCCATGCATAAGCCCCTGGTGCTATGAGGGTGGCTGAGTCCCAGCCCAGTTTCCATGAGAGCTATGGCACTGTGGTGTAATGCCAGTGTGGGCACTCGGTGTCTGCAGTCAGGGGCAGCTGAACAGAGCCTCAGCTTCCTGCTGGCTGCAGAAACAGCTCAGGCACCTCCGTGGGGACCTGCACCTTCAGGTAACTCACTCTGGATGACAGTCCTGTTTTACAGCCAGTGACACACATGTTGGTTGTAAAAAACCCACTTTTTTACAGTGTAACGCAGCATCTGAACAAAACATGGTGCTTTTCAAAGGCAGCAAAGAAAACAAGTTCTCTCTCATGGCTCAGACAAATATTGTGTTTACTCAAGGGAATTTAGGTACTAAAAGGAGAAGAGGAAACTGTCAGCTGCAATGAGCTCAGGGAGGCCCTCCTTCTGGAGCCTCTGCTGCTTTCACTGGTAACCATGTCAGCTAAGGGCAGAAAAGGAAAACCACCAGCAAACAGTTTTGTGTGACATGAAAGGTGGTCCAGTGTAAGATGTCTTTCTTGGATGAATCCTCAGGAAGAAGCCTCCTTGACCATATTAATCAACAACAGGTTACACTGGTGGGTGGCTGATCCCTGAGGGAGATGCAGTGAGCAAAACCTCTCCACCCTGACTCCAAGGACTTCTCAAATTCCCTGTTGTTTGTCCCCTATATAGGAGGAAAAGAGCCAACACTTAAAACAGATGATTCTGCTTTATTTGAATGGGAGGCACCCTTAAAGGAGTGTCAGGGGTTGTTTTATGTATTTTTTTTAAATTTGATTTTAGTTTCATGTATTTATTTTGGTGGGGTTGGAGCTAGATAATCTTAAAGGTCCCTTCCAACTCCAGCCTTGCTGTGATTCTCTGATTTCTAAGTGTAGACAAATACTGTTTGTTTAGGACAGTTTTCTGAAGAGGCTCTCCCCGAGTCAGTACATTTGTCTCAACTAGGAGTTCAAAGCTTTTTGGTGACTTGCAAGCACATCTTGTGCATGCTTTGTACCACCACTCTGGGCTGTGCATTGTCAGCCTCCTCTCAGAATTCTCCAGGCAGTCTTCTCCACCTCTGCATTTTTGAGTTTTGATCCACTGGCAGCAGCTGTATTTTCTTTAGTCACGCTCCCTGCCTATCTGCTCACTATTTTAGATTCTTTAGGGAAATGTAAACAATCTGTGGTTCCAGGTCTGCAATCAGAGCTGTGTGGGTGGCCCTCAGTGGACCCCTGTTGACCTCAGATCAAGTTGCAGGACTGGAGCTTTAGCTCAAACCTGGACATAAACAAGAACCAAGATGATTTCATTATTCATTTATTTAGGCTGTTGGTTATCTATACTATTCATTATTCTCTGATGATAAATTTAAATACAAGAGATAGAAGCAATAAAAATTTGGGATAGAAATACGACATTACAATATATCATGCTAATGATTTTTTTAAAAAAGCCAAAGAACTAAAACCAGACAGTCTTGAAAGGTGGAGATTGAAACCAGGTGAAGGATTATGCAGACAAGAGCTGATGAAGCACCTGGGTAGTCAGGCATTGAAAAAATGAAAAGCCAGCTCCATATGATTTATTTTGAAAGTAAGAAGAGAAGGCAACCATGATCAAGGGAAGTTCAATTCATGCTGAAATCACCCATGATGATACTTCTAAGAGGATCCTGATTAATTTTATTATTGTTATTATTTAAAGCAGAAGGGACAATTCTAGGTCAAAACAATTCCTGCCTTAAGCCCACAATGGCTGGTTGGGATAGGGCATTTTGAGAAGACTTATGGCAGAACACAGCACTTGAGCCCACGTAATTGATTTTTTTCTCTCTCTTAAACAACAAGCTCTCTGTTTTCTTCTAACTTGAACACCCCAAGAATGAGAAGGGAAATAGGCATTTTTGACAATAAAACATACATGTCTGGTTTTTTCATATAGCTTTGATGCAAACTCTGCTTGAAGATGTAGAGAGCCTTAAGTTTGAATGCAGAGAAATGTAACTTGCTGCTGTAAGTCCATCCATGATGGATTTCTACATTTTTCCAATGCATTTGTGTCTCACAAGAAATTAGAAAAAACCCTGACTTGGCTAAGTAAACAGCTCTGCAAAACATATCCCCTATCACTGTATAAGACCTGGGGAAGCCAGACTAAACTGATAATGTGGTTTAGAGAAACAGTGTTGTGTTTGTTTTTAGGATCCATGGCTGCATATATGAGTGAGTTTTTAAACTTGGCACAGAGTGGGATGAAGTTCTGCTCCTCACACACATCAGAGCAACTGTTGGTGAAAAAAAACAGGTGGAGGCTATTTGCAGAAAAAGAGCAAGTTTGAGCCTGTCTTGCTCCTGGTGAGAATGCCTCACTGCTATGGGAAGCATGGTGAAGCTGTGGGGTGACAAGAAACTGTCTGCCTGGAACAACAGCAAGTCTATTCAGATTCTGCGTCAAAAGCAGTTTTCAGAGTTATAGGCAGCCAAGGAAGAATGCTTGGAAGACTTCAGGAGGCAATGATGCAAAGCTTACAATTTTAGAGGATTGAATGCAGCATCTGAAGATAGGTCAGGGAGAGAGGAGTGCAAATACTGCTTCTCTTCTTTAAACGCCTTCACTAGCCATGACGTTTTGCATGCTAAGCCTAGCTGATAGTGTGCTCTGATCAAAGCACTGACAAGTCAGTGCTTTAATTATGTGAACCATCATTAGACTACAGAACTTGTATGGAATTAATTCTAGTGACTTATGCCTCCCACAGCTTTTGTTCTGGATTGTTGGTTAATTGAGAAATGGCCAGGTTTGTTTTTGGTTAGTTGCAAGTTTTCTGCTCAATAGTTGTATGAATTAGAAAGATCTTTTCATACATGTGAAGCTATTGAAGAAGATGTTGACAGGCCTTGTGAGCAAAACGTAAAAGCAAAAATAGCACACGCCGAGAAAACTGGAACTCCTCCAATATTTTTAAAGGGAAGGAGGAAAATACACCCTTCCACTCAACTTCAGCAGAATGGCTACAGCTGAATACTTTATGAATATATTAATTAGAAGTATATTCAAGTCTTTTCCCTGTTAATATGTGAATTTAAAACTGCTGCATAATTTTTTGTCTCTTTTTTTTTGTTCCCCCCAAGGATCCAGCATTTCAAAGGATCACACCATGTGGCTTGCACTGCAGATACCATGGGTTGAGTGTGAGTTGTACTTTGGTTGTTCTCTACTTTGAACACTCACCCTAAGACCTAGGATGTCCAGACATCCAATTCTCTAACACAAATACATGCAAAAATGATACTTAATCTCTGCCTGCCTTCATACCACTGACAACAGTATTTCACACACTCAGCACAGTTTTTCCCATATGATCTTCCCATTTCCAGTCAGAATGCCCATCCTACCTTTGGTAGTTTCGCTTTCCCGGATCAAGAAGGTACCTCTGGGGTTTCCAAACGACAGCAGCTGCCTCTCAGCATCCTTTCGGCCCAGCTTGCCAAAGTACCACCTTAGGGAAATACCAGAAATAGTAAGGCAAAATGTGATGTAGCAACACTAAACAGTGTCACAAAGCCCAGACACAGAGAGGATTTTGTGTGGAACCTGTGCTTACTCAGATACAGTTGACCATTTTTGTCACACTGTGTCGCTTTTATCATGCTGGAAAGCCAATGTGACAAAACACACAGTAGATGTTCCCTGTGCTGGGCAGCAGCTCTTTGCACTGAGCCTGTAATCAGCAGGTGCTGAGAATGTTTAGCGTCCTCCAACAAAGGCCAGACTTGGACAAAGAGAGGCCAAGATGTGGTGGGTGGAAGGTATACACAAGGAAAAGGGCAGAAAACTGTTGCTGCCAAAGAGCAGTATTTGTAGAGATGTTGCTATAAATATTTTACTTGCATAGTGATTTATTAGTACTCAATATTTTTGTTGCAGCACAGCTATAAAATCTCAGCAGAAAGATGAGATTCAACCTTGATGAGATTCTATATGAGGCTTTCAGAGGCTTTTACAGTCTTTTTTCCTTCCTGCAGCAACGTTTTTGTGTTGTTTCCCAATCAACCAAGGACAACCTGGAGTACAGACTCCAGGAGTACCTGCTCAGCTCTATAAGCTCCTCCACTGCATCTTTTATACTGGAAATAATGTGAATACACACATCACTCCTTTTCACTGCATAGATGGGTCCTCAGTAGAGCTTTGTGTATGCATTGTGGGCATCCTATCTATCCTGGATTTGTATTCGTTGATACAATGTGTCCTCTTTAATGGACAGTTTGCACACTAATTGACTCAAAATATTTTCACAAGTTGGTTCAGGAAAAGCAAGGACACCTTTTGGTTAAAGCTTGAAATTAGCTGACAGTTGAAAAAATGAAGCAGACCTGTGTTCCTTTAGGTTTTCTTCCTTTGTTTTGACATTGAAAAAGCACTGAGCTCGTGCTTCTTTTGTTACTAATTACCTAATTATTTATCAGTGCAGTTAAGAACTGAAATAAATATAACGTAAGTAATTTGAAAAATCACTGCAATCAATCAAAACCAACTCCTCACACCTCCTTCTAAAACTGCACTAATGGGTCTTTAGAACAGAAAAAGAAAACATACTCCTCTGCTTGGATGGAATCGACTGGAGCCACATAATTACTGGGAATGTAACCAGTTTCTCCTGTTGTCAAGGAACGGGCCTCCCACCAGTCTCCTTCCCTGTGGAAACAGAGGTGAGGAGGAGAAGTGAGAGCAGGACACAGCTGTACAGACAATGATGTGACTTTGTCTTCAGTTCTCGGTCTCAAGGTTGTTTATTGTATCTTATCTATAAAATTCTTTCTCCTGCCCTGCCGAGGTCTGTCCAGCAGGACAGTCCATGCACTCTGCCTGCCCCCAGGCCTGTTATGTCTTTATACTAAAAATTACGTATACAATGTTTACAATTACTTTCCAATACCTATCACCTATGTTAGACTGTGAGCTTCTACTCTAAACCAAGCCAAAAGTGCCAACATCACAGGAGAAGATGGTGACCAAGAAGAAGAAGAAGAAGAAGAAGAAAAAGAAGAAAGGCTGGACATATCTAGATCCCTCCATCTTGCCCCCCTAAATCCCCATTCTAAAAACCCCAAAATCTATTTTTTCACCTCGTGATAAATTCAGTATTATTCTTCTTAATTTATTGTGGCTTGCAGATCTTCATCTAAGGTTGGTAATTTGCTCCATGGGTCATAATCAAAGCCACAGGCATTTTGGGCTCTGTGCCAGGGTCTCTGAGCCCCCTGCCAGGGGTCTTGGCTGCTCAGGACAGCCAGAGGGATGTCCTGGGTCCTGACAACTTTGCTAACAGCACCCAGAACTGCACAGCTGTAAGAAGCCACAGCCACTCATCTCTTTATCACCGGTGTGCTTCTGAGAGAGCTGTTTGCATCTAAACCCCAAAAAATGTACATATTTCTTTACATCTGGAATTATTGCAGCAGTGATTAGTACTGTAGCCTTTCAGATGCAGCATAATGGCATGAAGAGGCAAAAGAGCCCAGTGTAATCAGGTTTGGTGAGGGCTGAATTTGGACTAGAATATTGAAAAGTGTATCCATAGCAATTATTCTAATACAGACACTTGAAAAAGCTTACAGGGAAGTTGCCAAATTGAATGCTGTGTTCTGACTTTGGCTGGGAATGAGTTAATTTTCCTCAAGGCAGCTGCTGTGGGACTGTGTTTTGGATTTGTGCTGGACACAGCACTGCTAGCTGATAACACAGGGATGTTTTCATTCCTGCTGAGCAGCATTCCCACAGTGTCAAGGCCTTTCCAGCCTCCCTCCCGAGCAGAGAGGGGCTGAGCAGGGGTCTGTGTGAGGGGACACAGCTGGGACAGCTGACTCCAGCTGACCACAGGGGTATTCCATAACATATGGCAGCAGGCTCAGCATGTAAAGCTGGGCAAGAAGAAGGACAAGGGGGGAATGTTTGGAGTGATGGCCTTTACCTTCCCAAGGCATGCTTAGGCATGATGGAAGCCTGCTTTCCTGGGGATGGCCGAACACCTGCCTGCCTATGGGAAGCCATGAATGAATTCCTTGTTTTGCTTGGCTTCTGTGCATGACTTTTGCTTTACCTGTTAAACTGCCTTTATCTCAACCCATGAGTTTTCTCACTTTTCTCCTTCTGATTCTCTCCCTGATCCTACCACGGGAGAAGTGAAGCCCCCCATGGAGGTTGTGTGGGGCTGAGTTGTTCTCTGAGGTTAAACCACAACACAGTGTCACATTCACTGCTGATTTTAAACTTCTATGAGCACAATTATCTGAAACCCAAAGATATCAAAAAGCCATCTATCAATATGGCATTTTAGATGGCCCTTAAGGATCACACTTCATTGCCTAGATTCCCTCTGCTGGCCACCTGGAGGAGGTAGCACAAGACAAGGCTGCATTTTCAAACACTTGCAAAAAGCTCTTCTTCTACAACATTTAAATGTGAAGAGGTTCATGCAGGACGATCTTAAGGCAGCATTCTGCAGGCTTAGCATGAATTTTTGTCTTACACTGGTGCAGACAGTGGGACATGCTACTGCCTTTCAGAAAATGCACATTGCTGCAGGCTGTGCAGCTTTAAGAGAAGTTTATTTCTCAGCTTTCTGCAGGATGCAGTGGCTTGGGATTTACCAATTTCTATTTCATTCTCAGCACCAGTGAGAATGAAATAGAAGTTGGTGAATTCATCAGTGTTTAACTCCTACCACTACTAATAAGCATTCTCTTTTCTATTTCTGGACTGCTTAGAAACTCTTTCTCAGTTCCCCTCTCTGTAAACCAGAGACTTGTTCACTAAATAAAACACTATTATCACATGTGACTGGAGAATTCAGCCTCTTCTGGAAGCAAACAATTACAGAAAACACACTGTGTAAGCTATTACTGGAAGGAAAGGTTGTGTCAAGGTGAATTCTTTAAATTTTCAACTTCACTTTATTTAACAGTTTAAAGGAGCACGAACTCTATGGAAAACTACTAGAAAACAGCTGTGATTAGTCAGAAAGGAGACTTTCCAATTTTACAGTTCAAGAAACATGAAGTGCAAATAGCTTTTGCAGAGGTTGACACTGTTTTAATACACCCTGTGTGCATTAGTATGTCAGGCAAATGGCCCTTTCTGTTTGTGTCCCTGGTGGTGCCAGTGAAGTGCTAACCCTTCCCCCAGATGCTGCTGTAGAATATTTCTGAGGCACTGAGCTTGATAAATTGTACCATTCAATCTCCTCCTTACTGTGCAGAGAGTCCACTAGATGGAGGTATTTTGTCGTATCTAGGGAGGAAAAAAGCACTCCTGTGGATGCTCCCAATGTCAGGAACAACCCCCTCTGCTTTGACAGAGAAGCTTAAATCTCTCAAAGCACTGCCAGAAAGGAGGAGGAATGCAGGCTTTTTTCACAGCTCTTAATTTCAGACCTGCAGCTGAGGTAGGAGGCAGCTAGTCAATGGGGCCAGACAGGGAGTGGTGGTGGGAATGCTGGGGATGCCCAGTGTTCCAAAGCTCCACATTCAGGCTCTGATATGAACCACTCTGCAGGTGCCTCTTTCACCCAGACTGCCTTTAGTAAAATTTCTGGGCTCAAATCACAGGGATACCCCCTGTATGTCATTTCAGGTGTTGTGCTGAATGTTTACTCCAAAGCACAAATCAAATTTCGGTTTTTGAAAGCTAAAGCAAAATCCAAATCCAAACCTCTCCAAAAATTCCAGGCCAACTACTTTTTTTGCACATATTGGCAAGCAGCATTGGCAGGTGCTCTTAAAAATGAGCTTATTTAATGTAATTCCTGATGAAGAGAGGTAGCATTCTTACAGAAAAGCAGATTTCTGGAGATTCCCAGTCTGGCTGTCACTACTCCAGGGGTGTGGTTAGGGCCATGTTTATAAGCAAATACACCTAACTACAATGGGAACTGAGTTTCTATGATCCTACAGGAAAATAAATGAATGCCTGGTCTTTTTTCCTTGCTTAGAAACCCTTCTTCCAGGCTGTAATTACCTGCATCAAAATGCATGTACTGGCAGCCACTGACATGAAGGGGAATCTCTCTGTCTCACCAGCTCCAAGGATGACAGCTCTGTAAGTCCTGGTGAGCACCACCAGATTCCACCAACTGGCATGTACAAGGTATTTATAACGCGTGGAACTTCTTGTTCCAGGTTATGGCATAGTTTGTGCAAGGTTAGGAAAGCACAAGGCAATGTGAACAAAAATGGATCATAGGTTTAAAAAGGGTTTGTTTCCAACCTCTAATTTAGAAGCAGAAAGGTTTTACTGCTGCTCCCTCTACAAATTGTAACTGAAGTTTCTGTGCTTTCATCTACATCAAAGCTCTTTTGCTTCATGAAATATTCCACAGAATTACCTGATTTTTAAAACAACTTCAGTGCACACTGAGCCAATTCCAACCCTTCAGTGGCTATATTAAAATTAACAGGAGCTGCACCAAGGGTGAATTCATCTCATTGTCACAAATTATAAAAAAAAAGAGAGGACCAATATCACAAAGCCTTTAGAAAGTGACATACTTGGTTGTTAAGCCATTTTTACCTCTACATGACGGCAGTAGTGAACATAACACAGAGCCTGCCACTTTGTGCTCTTAGCCAAGAATTACAAGATGTTCAGATATAGGTCAGTAGCACAGTGAGTTTTAGAAGTTATTTTTAAATCGCTAAGGGATATTTTTTTCTATGGGCAGTTGATCAAATTAATTTTAAGTTGATGATTTCCAGGATGGAAATGTGGTTTTCATGTCAGATGCAGCAGAACCTAAGAAGTTCTGACTCCATCACTTATCTTTAAAAGGACAAAAATGCTTTTAAACTTGGAATATACATCTTTTGTGAATCACCTTTTAGCTCATTTCTGTGTAGGGATACTTGCAGCAGATTGGAAAAAGTGTTAGTACATGCCTTGCAGAACCTCTGTAGTTACTGATAAAGTACAAAGCTGGTAGTCTCAGTTCTGAATGTGGGGTTACTGTAAAAGGTAAGCAGTAAATCAACAATCTAACACTTTTTTAAAAGTAAAGCTGCATGTGGTTGAAGTGTTTTTTCCCCAACAACACAGCACTTTGCAAAAGTGCACTAAATGCAAGGATGAGAAAGTAAGCATACAGTAAATCCCCTCCGTACTTGAATATCCAACATCAGATTTTACTAATAGCATAAGCAAATGTTATTGTAAACATTGTAAGTTTGAAACTATTAAAAAGTAGATTCCCAACCCTATAACTTACGAGCTGTTAAGTATCTGGAATTTTTCTCCTTTGTGAAAACTCAAGTCATCTTCTGTTCTTGCTTCATAGTCATAAAGCGCCACAAAAAGAGTTACACCTAAAGAAAAAGATCAGTGGGTTATACTCCATCACAAAGACAGGAGGGAAAGGAACCTCAAGAGATGTTGTGGATAAGCCACAGGTAAGCTGCTCCAGTTGCTGAGGAGCAAACCAAACTGAACCCTCCAACTTTTGAATGACTCTCATTTCTCTGGTCTTAGGCAGCCAGTGGGCACTCCGCCTCCTTCACTCTGCACAATCACAACATCCCAGGCAGGCAAAGGGGGTTGAAGAGACAGTTTAGACATAGCCATGCCAAGTATTTAACTACTGGAGGTGGCTCAGCCCACACATTACACTCCCTGGTAGAGAGATGAGGCAGTTAGCCAAATTTGGCATGTACACATAATTTCTCAGTGCCAAGTGAACCTGCAAATTAGCAAAAGACCCAGCTCCACCCTACTTCAATTCTTCACACTATTTAATGAAATAACTCTTCCTAAAAGCAACATGCTGAGACAGTCAGGCCTCTGCTGTACACGTGACTGACACTAGGAACACTAAAATAAGATAAAAAGATAAAAAATAAGCTCACCTGTTCCTCCTCTTGTACGCAGCGTCCCTGTATGAGAGGAGGAGTTGACTCCACCAAACACAGTCAGTCCTTGGCCTCCTGTGGCATGGAAGTTGTTGTAGTTTGGGATTGAAGTCACACCAAAGCTAGGATAGTGCTGAGGAGTAGGATCTGTCCCATAGCGGTAGCCTGAGCTTTGAGTTAAACTGCCATCCCTCTCATCAGTCAGTTTTGTTGCTTCTTTATCCTTACATTGCACACAGCCCATTATCTAAAATCCTAGGAGGGGAAGGAAAAGATAGGTGCTCATATGTTGATGCTCACCAGATGTCCTCCAAACACACATATGATGAGGCTCAAATAAAGTTCACTGCTCAAAAGTTAAGTACTTTGGAAAAAAAAAAACTGCATTGGTTTGAATATAAACAGCAACATGTTGGAAAAAACCTCACACAAAATCTTCCCCTCAGTTTTCCATTGAGGCCTGGGGAAGGGGATCCTGCCTGCTCTTAGGGAGGTGGCAGATCTTTGTCCAGCCCTGACAGGCAACATTTTGCACAGAGGAACCAAGAGGATGAAATCCATCTTGCTCACCCTCTGCCAGGAGATGCAGGAGATGCAACTAGCAGGCTAAGGACTCAGCCAAAAAAGTGCAGCTGGAGGTGTTCAAGACTGCCCCCAGAACACAGAATCAGGCACTTAACTTGTGGCTCATATTTGACCTGGCCAACTACACAGGAGTGGACTTCACCTAAAGACAAAACCCTTCCATTGCTGAAGCTCTGCACGGCAGGCAGAAAAAAAGCCACAGTGAGCCAAGAATTATTACAGCAGGAAAGTAGGAGGGAGATATCAGAGGGCACAGCTGACAAAAAAAAAGGAAGTTCCTTTTCAAGCAATACCAAATTGAAGACTAAAACCACTGGTAACAGGAGGTGGGGCTGGCAAAGGCACATGTTAAGAAACCAGAGAAAGTCCCAGAAGAATTAACACATCAAATGCAGAGCAACTCCAAGTACAGATTCTGCACAGGATGAAACTGAGAGGGTTTCAAAAATTACAGCTTCAAAAAGGTTGCTCCAAGTTTTTTAATTCTTGTAACCTCTTGCTCAGCACCCTCATGGGGCACTACCAGCCTGGGTTAAACTTTTTATTTTAGAGAGTTTATTTTAGCCTCTCTCTGCATGGAGGGTGATTCACCACAGCTCAGAAGCAGTCCTGCAAGGTTAGTCCTGTTACCTGGTGTTGCCTGTCATCTGTAGCTCTAACTTTCTTTAATCCATGTGGTGCTGTGACTGAATTCTTTCCTATTGCCCAAGTTGAACCTGGACACAAAACCTGAGTTTCTGGAGTTGGGTGGGATGAACCTGGGCAATCAGATACTTATCTGGATGCCTCCTTGATCTGAACCAGTACAGTGACTCTTAGATGCAACCTGGCACACTAACAACACACTGTGAATAGTGGGGTTGTAAGAGAAGTGGCAGAAAAAACCCTAAAAAAATTGCTTAATAGACACAGTTTTTTCAGAATATATAAATAGACAGGGAAAAAATGCAGAGAACGAAAAAAAAAATATAGTGAAGTACTATTTTTTTTTGCCCCACATTTCTTTTCACATTTCAGACCAATATCTGTCACTTCGGGTAAATAAAAAGTCTATGCTTTCTAAATTTCTGTAATTTTTCTGTAGCTGCTAGGCTGGCTATTTTCTATACCTTACCCCAACATCAACACAGGAAATTGGTTTTGACAAACTCATGGGATTCAGAAAAATACTGTTTCACCAGTGCTAATGCTTCAAAAATTATGCAGCAGCTCCCTGTTTTTCTGTGACAGTGCACAGTCTGGATACCTGCTTCCCACATCTCACCTGCCTAATTAAAAACACTTCTGCTGAAGGGTATTTTCTACAGTTTGCAGATACTTCCAGTTATTCTACAAGTCAGTTCAGAAAAACAAGCATAATTTTGCTTGCCCAATGTGACACCCATCCACAAGAAGGACCAGAAGGAGGATCTGGGAAAATACAGGCCTGTCAGTCTGCCCTTGATGCCCAGGAAGGTTATGGAAAGCTCATTGTGAGTGCAATCACAAGGCACACACAGGATCAGACCCAGCCAGATTGGGTCTAGGACAGGACACAGCCCTCAGTGCCATGGCCTAATTGACAAGGTGGTAATCAGTCAAAGGCTGGATGCTATGATCTCAGAGGTCTTTTTAACCTAAATGATTCTGTTTTGCTGTAATTTTATCTTTATTTATTTCCTGGAGTTGTATTGCCTGCAGCTAGCATGGGTCTACGCTCTCTTGCTCTTAGCCTGAATTAAAACTGCCCTTTTTGCATTTCTTTATCCCTTCAAGACACCACATCCACTCAGCAGGGCTCCCTCACCAAAATGTTTAAGTCTTTTGGGGAGAACAGAGAAATGGACTCCTGACTCTTCACTTGCTGCATGGGTGGCATGAGCTGGGATCCCCCAAGAAACTAAAGCAACAACTGGTTGAGGGAAAGGGGTTTGCTGCTGTTACTGCTGCAGCAGCCATGCTGACCTCCCTCCTCTGCTCGCCCTGGAAGCTGGGCTGGAGCTGGAGGTGCAGAGTGTTGTGCATCCCCAGGACCAGCAGTGGCACCAGGTGAGCCACAGGGAGCACGAGAGGTGCAGAGATGCCCTGGCCAGCTTCACATCAGCTGAGAAAAACTGCTTGTGGAACCAGGACTACTGCTTTTACCATTCAACAGCAGGACAGTCTGGCTCTGGAGAGCCTTTGTCTGGAGATGCCATCAGAACTGAGGTTTTCCTGGCTCCTCTCAGAGCCTCTGTGAGCACTGCCAGAGAGTGAAGCAGGACCACATGGAAGGCAAGAGCCCTGTGGAGGGATGGCTCATCTCCCTGCAGAGCCCAGAAGGCTTTGGGCAGGAGGGATGAGTCTGGGATTCACTGCTGGGACCTGCTACACCTCTGTGAAAGCGTGGCTATGATGTGCAGAGAGCAAAACATGGGCAGGAGCAAACACTGCGCGGGAGACACCCCCAGAGAAATCCCAGCTCAGCAGGAAGGGAGGAAAGGTGCTGACCACCTGAGCAGGGAAGGGTAAGCCATTAAATCAGCCTGCCTAAAAGCTGCCACATGGGCTTATTCACCTCAAAGCAACTAAGTGATATGCAGGGTTTGCTGTTTCAAGAAGAATTTCACAGCCTTTTTGTTGGCTTGCAGACTTACATCCCTGTGAAACTCTATCACCTCCTCCCCTTCCCCTCCCAGCTCTGTTTTTTTCTCCTCTTATTTTTTCCCATGTGCTTTCATGAAGAAAGTAGAGAAAAAAATTTAAAGAAAAAAAGAGATAGGAAACATGAAATCTGTGAGACCAGTGGGAGGGAAAGTGGTTTTCTTGTTGCTCATTCACAAATGTTCAGCTGAGCAGGGAAAAAAAATCCCCACTGAAATCTGGGAATATTTCATGTATAAATTTACAACTGCTGACAAGACAACCCTACACATTTCATTTACACACTGATAAGGAAAAAGCTGAAATGATAAATCAACTGCAAAAAGAAATATTGCTACAAGTATTTATCCTGGAAAAAGTGAATAAACAAGGGGATGGTATATATATGTACTGGTAGTTTAAAAAAATGGTTTAGGTTTGTATTACTAGGAGTTATATGTATAGAGAACCAGTGAATTATGAATGTCTTGGTTTTTGCTTGCTTTATCTTTTCACTGGCAACAGCAGCACACAGGGAAGGAGAATTTGATGCAAAGTGAACCACTGACAAAATGGGCTTTTTCTTTCTCTTGTCCCCTCCCACTGTCACAGTGTCTAGACAATCCAAGTATAAAAACTGCTTGATTGCAGCCTCTTGTAAAATGTGACAGAGGGTGTTACATGCACACATCTTTTCAAGCCAAGTCCCTGAAAGTTGTCTGTTCTTGGCTCAAAGAAACAGCATCGTGGGGAGCTTGCTAAATGTGAGAGAATACATGTATGAGTGTACATGCCTAAAGTGATTTCAGCTTACTCAGGGGTTTCATAGACAATAAATATCACCTCCATTCAGCACTGGCCTTTGTGTCAATGAATGGAATCCAAAAACTAATCTCCTTCAGTATCACAGAGCAGGATTTTAATATCCAAAAGCTTCATCTCCCTGCATGTCAGCATTTGGAGCTGTGGAAGGCTGGAATTTATTCAGCCAGCTCTGAGATCACCAAACAAAATCTGGAGCTGTTTTACACTAAACTCTCTAGAGATGAGCACACAATGTTGCTCATCCAACATGCTGTGCATCTTAGAGTAAGGGAACAAGTTTTTAATCAATTTCCACTAGGAAAGGCAGAATTTCTCAGATGTGTGAGCTATGGGTTGCACAGCATTATCACAGTCTGACACTGGTAATGTTAAAAGACATGTAACTGGCCTAATTAAAATGAACTTTTCTAATGCAAGTAAATTGAATTTGGTTATTTTGAAGTTGTGTTTTTGTGGGCAAGGTAAAACGTGTTTTTATGAAAACATAAACCCCCCTATTTTCATGGGTGTTGAGACTTCCTTAGAGACAAATAAAAATAAACAGTATATTATTTGTCTCCTTTCTTGCCCTTATTACATTTCTTGGACTCCAGCATTAACATTGCAAGCAATCCAACATGTGTCTAACCAGAAGAGTAGTTTCCACCCACATTGTGGAAACATTAGTTGACAAAGATATAAAATTCATTATATCACTATTAATCATTTATATAGTCAGAGCACCCTAATCGCTTTTAGGTAGAATACAGATGAAGGCTAAGGAGACATATTAACATTATTATTATTACTGTAAATCATCCTCCTTTGGTTTTTCTTTTTGTTCTTGATACAAAATGGAAGCCAAAACTGAAACACCCAACAAAGCTAGACACCATCCATACCATTAACAAAAACAAAAGCCGTCCTCTGCTAGCTAATCAAAACCTAGGAAAAGTCCAAGAGTAGGAGGAAAATTCCTTTTTTTATACTTCTATTTTAAAAGTAAAAGCTCCACCATGTGATATCTGAAAAGCCAAAAGTACTGATTAACCTTTGCTTCTGCAGTAGTAAGCATATGGATGGGGGGAAGAGTGGTGTAAATTCACTCCTTCCGAGCATCAGAAGTTTTCTCATAAGCTTTTGCAACTCACAGCTGAAAGTCTGAATTATGGTACATCTTCAGAACCTTCTTTTTTTTGGAGTTGTAAGAGAAAACAAGTCCTAAGAGTGTTTGAGAGAGAGGTACAGAGAGATGCAGTGAAAAG